ATATAGACACACACACATATTATACACTAGGGTTAGCCGTTTATTAGTGTTACAACACAAGAAAAACACAAAAAGAAAACTAGACAAAGGAACAATTGCAAATTTTACGACACTACAAAAGGTTGTCGGATGATGACGCTTCATATGATCGATGGTGTATATGTATGTATGATTTCTATCGATTCATGCTTCTCCGTCATGAACATTGGTTAAAGAGAGAAGCGAGTGCGACGTTATGACATGAGAATTCCTAAATATGGATGCAGAGAGTAGGAGTTACGTTTAATTCTCCAGGACCGCAAGGTTTTATTTGAACAAATTTGTACTTCATTAGTATTCTTTGTACAAATTATATGCTTTAATGATATTTTTTGTACTAAAAAAACAATAATGATATTTTTTGAACATTTTAGAAACTTTGTTACCCTTGTAATACATTTTCTCAAATAGTAATAATTGGTAACCTGATGGTTACCTACTATAGTCGGTCAACATAAGCTTTAATGCTATTTTTTACTAAAAAAACAAAAAATGTATTTTTTTGTACATTTTAGAAACTTCGTTACCTTTTTAAGTTATTTTCCCTCTATAAAACACCAAGTACAAATATCATGACATCTCTAACTCCTACACCCATTTGTTTTAGCAAGTGTACTCCAACATCTCACATTCATTTATTTAAATCTAACATACGATGTACAACATATTTACCTCTATATGCATGGCCCATGTAAGACTCATTTTAGTGTTTTTAAAACACATTATGTGTTATTTCTATAATATTGTTGGCGATGGCCTCCAACTATACATTTCTCTAATTGTAACGTCTCATTTTCACAACAAAAAATTTTCATTTTTATTACGGTAAAACTTCCGAGTTATGAATCTATTTTAAGAAAACCATTTATTCCAATGTACATTCATCGAACATCAAAGTAATATAATAAACGTGAAATCCTCAATGTTGTTGATGAGTGTGTACAGTCTCTGTAACGCCCGCGTTTCCTGCTAGATTAAGCATAGTCTGTAATCACTTTGGTCAACTATTGTAATCTTTATATGAATGAATAAGAAAAGATTATTCATATATTTATATGCTTACGTGTTTTATAGGATATTATGTGTAAACTATATGAGTATTTAATAATAAAATTAAATTAAATTAAAATACGCATCGAAGATCAAAGATTACTTAGGATAAATAATCTTAACCAAGTTGTAGTATACATTATAAGGATTCTGGAGATATAAGGAGCGTTCAAATATGACTTCATATGAGGAAGTTATGCCTCTTCGAAGTTTCGCGTTTAAACCGACATGGCTCTGCGTACCGTAAAAAGTAAATTTTTGATAACTTCCTTTTTAGCCTAAGTAATCTAAACGAAAGTCATAGTAATCGTTAAACCGAGAGAGTGCATATAGAGAACGTCTAAATCTGACTTTGTAAGAGGAAATTATGATTTTTATAAGATTCAGCGTAACAATATACATCTCAAAAATCGGATTTTTGATCGGTCGATTTTTAGCCAGAATAATCTAAACGAGAGTTGAAGATTTCGTTAATAGGAGTCCAACGATATAAGAAAGTCACAAAGTCAATGGTCAACGATCAAAAAAAGTCAAAGTCCACATCAGGCTGTGTCACAACTAGCATTCTAGCTAGGAAATTTTGTACTCTTGTAAACATTATCTACTGTAAACTCGTAAACCCTAATTCATGTTATGTTTGAAGTTCAACCTATGGAAGCACATTAAACCTAGATTCATCAAGTAAAGTTGAA